CCAGAGAATTCATAATGCAAAATAAGATTTTGTAACAATTGAAAAATTATTTTTTTAAAAAAAAATGTATATAGAAATAGCGACCATAAGAATATTTAGACAATATTTAGACAATAGATTTTTGATTTATAAAATTATCCAAAATTTGAAAAAATTTTTCTTTTTGAAAGTTAGTAATGCCGATTGTGTGGATTGAACACACGACCTTCAGATCTTCAGTCTGACGCTCTCCCAACTGAGCTAAATCGGCGAGCCTTGCAAGTGAGCTTTTAAATATTTATGTATAGTAATATTTACAAAAGCAAATAAATTATCCCCTGAAATCACTACAAAGCCTCGCTTGATCAATGAATAAAACCAATAATGATGAAATTTAAGCTACGCCAAATATACAAATATATATGTATAACGGGTTTTAACGTTAACAGATAAAGTGTAATATAACGTAAAAACTGATGCATTCAAATATTGATATTCATTTTTAACTGGAAATAGAATCTTAAAATTTTTTATTTTTGATCCGATCCTTTCCGTCAATTCATCTTAAGTGTATTTAAGGTAAGATTAAAATAATCGCACACTGAGACAATAAATATAGATTATAAATAGATTTTTACTAATCAATTGTCATCATAAATAATAGATTAAAAAAAAAAAAAAAAAAAGAAGGGGCTCAACATTTCAAAGATCTAAACTATTTTTTCATATATTTGTCGTCTCCAAATAAGGGAGAATCCTGTTTCAAACTTTTAAAAATAAGGCTTTGTCGTTAGAAATTTTATTATATTTTATCCTTCGCCTACTTGACAGGAACATACACGACAAATAAATTCGCTATGCCAGCCACTGAAACTCAAAATACTAATGAAAGTCAGTTCGTTCAGTCGGACGTGAATGATAAACAAGTGTCTACACCTTCAAAAGCAGTCACGAAAGCCAGTTCACCAAAGACTACTCCACCTTCTTCTCCGGTTAATAATAAAAAGAATGGCGCGTCTTCTAAAAAGAAGCCACTGGATCCTCAGGAACTTAATAATATGATTCAAAATAAAATTTCTCAACTCGAAAATGAATCGTCAATTGAAGACGAAGAAGAAAAATCCATTGGTATATAATTCTTTTAGGTTTTGTATGACATTGATAACAGAATTAAATTAATTATTAATCCATCTCTTATCTCTTTTCTAATTACTGAAAATTATAAATTGATCAATCATTTCTAAACTTTAGCAAAAGCTGTTAAAAAGGCAAGCAAAGAAATGAAGGAAATTATCAATTCTCATGATGATCAAATGGAGAAATTTGATACAATACAACAAAAATATATGGAATTGGTAAGTGAACTTAAAAATTTAAAATTTTTTTTTTAAACTTTAAATCGTAATTCGATTTAATAAACTTAGGATCGATTATGTTGATCAACGTAATTTGATCATAAAAAAAAAAACTTGATCTTTTTATACTACATAGTTTCAAGATATGAAACGACTCGAACGAGAACATGCTAAAATGAAGAAACGTAATGAACAATTACAAAAAGAGAAAGATGCAGGTAAATAATCCAAGTCATATTTAATACAAACCTTCTTGGATGAATCGCGTCAATTTAACTCCAAGATCGTGGTTAGCAAAAAGTGACTTGTCCAAAACGAATTCCATGAAACATAAATTGGAAAATATCTGTCGTGAATTACAAAAGGAAAACAAACGTATTAAGGTTTGTGTTAATCATTGAAAATTTCATTTTATTAGGAAAAAAAAAGTTTTGATCTCTATTTTCATAATTAGGAAGAAAGCAAACGTTTAGCCGCAAGTGAACAACAAAAACGTGAAGAGTTGTCTAGTAAATTTGAAAATACTATTTGGGAAATCAAATCTAAGATGGAAGAAGATACTGATGA